GTCAGTGCAAGTAAATAGCTTTTATGGAGCCTTTTTATTGTAGCTGTTGGTGATAGCAGAGTCCCTTTGCTAAATCAGCTATGGAGAAACAAGGTATTATTTGTTTGTCACAACAGTAATTGCTTTTTTATTTTTAACCTAAGCCCCCAAAACAGCAGAATTTTAGATTGATGTTAATTGCTTCCAAACTTGGCTTTATCAGCTTTAGTTTTCTCAGTTTGTTGCTGAAGGTATTTTTGTTGCTGAAAGTATTGAAAAATGCAGAGCCCTCCAGCAGTACCGTGTGGGGTTCATTAATCTTGTCTTGACTTTGAGAAATGAGAAGCAAGTTGAGGGAACAAGGAATCAAATTGGTTGAATTAGTTGTGTTCGGAAGCAAAGAAAATATTCCATTATTTAACCTGGCTGCTATTCCCAGAGTCCTCATACAGAGACAAAACGTGGTTGGTTGGACTTGATGATCTTAAAGGTCTTTTCCAACCCAAAAAAAATTTTTTATAGTGAACGTTATTTCTGACAGTAGAGCTTCTCAATAATGTGTCCTCTTGAGTCAGGTTGTGTGGCTGAGTGACTCCCACTGCTGGAGCTTTGCTGTGTTGGCCCAAGAGGCTTCTTCCTCCATGGACCACAAGAAGTGGTGTTGATGGCTGGTTCTGACATGGGTTTGTTACCCAAAGTCATTAATCTTGTCTTGACTTTGAGAAATGAGAAGCAAGTTGAGGGAACAAGGAATCAAATTGGTTGAATTAGTTGTGTTCGGAAGCAAAGAAAATATTCCATTATTTAACCTGGCTGCTATTCCCAGAGTCCTCATACAGAGACAAAACGTGGTTGGTTGGACTTGATGATCTTAAAGGTCTTTTCCAACCCAAAAAATTTTTTTATAATGAACGTTATTTCTGACAGTAAAGCTTCTCAATAATGTGTCCTCTTGAGTCAGGTTGTGTGGCTGAGTGACTCCCACTGCTGGAGCTTTGCTGTGTTGGCCCAAGAGGCTTCTTCCTCCATGGACCACAAGAAGTGGTGTTGATGGCTGGTTCTGACATGGGTTTGTTACCCAAAGCTGGTACACTGACAGGACAGATGTCTGCAGAAAGTGGCAGAGAATGTCTTGTCTCCTCTCCCCATCCAAACCTAGTGGGAGGCAGGAGCAGTGGTCAGTAATGGAAGGGAGAGGAACACAATGAACTCCATCCCTGAAGCCCTGGCAGGAGCTGAGGGATGTCCTAGGAGAGGAACTGTTGTGTGGCCTTGGTCCCTCAGCTCCCCTGGCTCAGGGCACTGGCAGCCAGCAGCGAGGACTGAAGGACAAGAGCTGAGCTACAAGGCAGAACAGGCAGAAAACTGGGCTGGAAGCAGAGGTGGCTGTTGGGGTGAGGGGGAGGCTGTGCTGAGCACGTGGGACAAAAATAGTGCCTGGTTTAATGACTCAAAGTGTAGAAAATGAAAGGTTTTAGGAAGGAGCCTGTGTGCTCTGAGTGTTCTGGCAGTGGGGATTCATGGAAAGCAAACAGCTTAAGATTCCTCCAGCAGGCTCTAACACAGGTGTTTGTTCTTATATATACTCTTCAAAACCTTTCCAGCTTCTATACTTTGAGTCACTAAATCATTGTTTATCTCTGCTTCTTGGACCACATTTCTGTTTAGGTGAGAAATACCAGGATAAAATGCCATATAACGGGCCAGAATTAGCCCAGAGCACCCTTCTTTTCCCATCCACTTTCCAAGGGAAGATCAGCTCTAATCCTCCTGTAATACTTGTAGCATCCATCCAAAAAGGTGCTCATGCATTTTAGTGGAGACAGACATACTGATTGAGAAGATTTTCTACAGAACCTTGTCTTCTCCGCTGTGTCCCCAGCCAGGAAAGGTGCAGTGCTCAGAGGAACGTGTAGATGAGAGCTGGGGGTTTTCATCCCTTGCTATATGGGTGATATAATATCCTGTTCCCCTTGCTGAGCTGATGTGGATGAGTTCACTTTCTCCTGAGGATAGTGACAGGCAGGACACACAGTGCCAGAAAGAGTGAAGGAAAACCTTACAGATCTCCTATGGAGTCAAGGTTGACAGTACTGATTTACAACAGCTGTAGATATGGCCATATACATATAAGTTGTCCTGTTGAGCAAAATGAACCATTTTACGAGCAGGTCTTTGGCTGCCCAGGTGCTGGGTCTTAGGGTTTAGCTGCCACGTTCCACAAGCTGGGAGCACTGGAATGCACAGGATGTTCCTGAACTTGCAGCCACAGACTTCAAGAACATTTACCATCTGCCAACACTGGAGGCAAGAGGGGCAAAGCAGGAGGGCACAAGGGAGCAGGACATGGTGTAGTTCATTTTCATATTTTTGTGCTTCCAGCCAAAAATCCTTGGTAGCCAAATAAGTGCTGCAAAATATCTTCTCTCTGCTGGATCCTCTGTACAGCCCGGGCACTGCTCAGCAGGAGCTGTAGCTCTTATCAGCCTGGGTACTTTTCATATCATTTAACTTATTTCTCAGTTTCTAGGGAAACACTTCCTAGCACTGCATTTATCAGGATGTCTTTCCAAACTCCTCCGCCAACACTTAATTAATGGGATTTTTAAGTTTGGCTCCAGCTTCTGCAAATTAATAGCATGCTCCCTTACAGCAGCTGTGGGGCAAGTGAGACATGTCTGCTCTCCAAAATACCTTAGAGGGTGCAGAGGCAGAGGAGCAGCTCCACCGTCTGTCTGTGCGTGTCCCCCGGGAGGCAGGGCCGTCTGATGTTCCATTTGGCTTCTGTTAGTGTGCCCTGAGGGATCTGCACAGGTGAAAATGCCCTTGGCAAAGAGCTGGGCTGTAAAAATTAACTTTTTGTTGTGTTTCAACACAGCCTTTCTTTAGCTTCAGTGTCTCTGTGCAGAGTGGTAGATAGTGAGTATCTGGAAGAGGCTGTGGAAGGCAGTTAAAACAGTTCAAAGCCTGGAGCATCCTGAGGCAGACCTGGGCAAAAATGAGCAACTGCCCTAGAAGGCAGCAGGTTGCCCAGAGCAGGAGAATGGGCTACATCTTGCTGCTGGCTTCTGCTCATGCCAGCTACCTGGAGGGGCAAGGCTGGTAGCTGGGCCCCAGGGGCTTTCCAGGACACCCTCTTGATTTTTCAGGGCTTATCCTCATCAAAATACCATTTGTTTTCATGAGATTTATTGAGCCATCAGTGCTCAGAGGCAGTGACTAAGGAAGCTGGGAGGGGGCATTAGGGTATCTTGAGAGGCAAGATGGCTGCAAACCTGGAGCTGTGTGGGAGGCAGGGACCAGATTAGCTGTGGAGGGGTTGTCACATTGACAGACAAGATGTGGTGTCTCAAAACCAAAGGGTATAGGCTGTGGGTGGAAATCTAATGGCTTTTGCTCAGTTCTCAATGAGTTGACATTCCCTGAGTTACTTCTGGAGAAGTGCAGAGGGACAGTCCTGAGGTCTGGGATAGACATCTCTGCTGGGAATGCTGTCTTGGGAACAGGGCTGCGATGCCAAGAGCTGGGCTGAGCTGTTACCTGCTCCAGATCCTGCTGCCATAGTGCCTGCAGAACAAGCCACTTGCTGGTCAGGAAAGAGCATTTCTACTATCTCAGATATGAAAGATGCCACAGCAAAGCATTTTGTGCTTTTTGGTTGGCTGTGTGTCTAGGGCCTGCTGCTGGGGACTCTAAATGACTGTTGATAGGCTATTGCCTTGGAGCAGAGTCCATCTACAATGCAGATGAGAAATGTGTGTTCCTCTTCTTACCTAGGCCAGACTTTCCACTATTTATTTTGCCCTTACTGTGCTTTGGCAAACACTCAGAGGTCTGAGTTTCAGCTGCTGGCTGAACTTAGTGTCTTGCCCCATCTGTTAACTGAGGAGTTGCCATCACGTGTCCCCTGAACAGCAGCTTCTACCTCCCTGAGGTCAGAACATTAAGTAAAAGCTGCTGTTGTCTGAACACAAACTCTGCCATCTGATGGGCAGGAACCCTGGGGAGCTGAGGCTTTCAGGGAGTCTCTGGCTGTTTGAAGGTGAATCCTGTGTAGGACAGGTTAGTTAAAAAATGTAACAAGGCTGAGCTTAGTTTCAAAGAGGAATGTTCAGCTCTTGTGCCTATAACCCTCAACACAAACCAAGTGACTGAAGGCAAAACTACCTGTAAGCATATGAACAGGAGGTGAAGAGGTGAAGGGTCTGCCTGTTGCAGGGGATGCTTTGTGATTGATGCAGTTTTTGCTCTCTGTTCAGTTGGTGAAAGTTTGCTATGGCCTTTTGCAACTCAAGTTCTTCCCAGGATATGATGCCTGGACTGCAGGAAAGATTTGATCTCACGCTTGCCAGGTGCTCTTCTATTTCTCACATTTGAGGCAGAGAAATCTGGAAAGTTTAATAAAAAACCCAAACAAACAAGCAAACCAAAACATCCTTGCAGAAAAAACCACCAGAAACAGAATCTCAGGATTGGAGGAGGCTGCAGGGGACAGGAGCTGGGTTTCTGGCTCTGTGCTGCTATACCTGCTATAAATGGACCAGCAGCTGATGTTTCAACTGCACTTTGGCATTGCTGTAAGCTCAGAGAACAGGGAAGGAAAAAGAAAAAGGCTCTGCTTGGTGCTAGTGAAGGATGGATGGGGTGAGCAGGACACTGTTAAGTGTCTGGTATCCTTCTGTTCTTGGGTTAGAGGGAAGAAGAGATTGAATTGAGCAGGACCTTTCCTTTCCCTGGGCACATGAGCTCATGGCTGCATGAGAGCCAAGGAAACATGTCATGGCTGTTTTGAGGTCAGATCTGTCTCCTGCCACCCCTCCCTACACTGGGCACTTACCTCACAGCTTGTCTCTAACCGTGGCTCTGTGCACAGGGCACAGAGCATTTCTGCCTAACAGTAGGCACAGACAGTTTCCTTGCTTTTCCAACACCCAAAAAGCTTTAATGCACCCACTGTCAGCTTGCTCATTCACTCTGTGACTTCCACAGCCCAAACTCCCTCCCTGTGGGCAGCCTGGGTCATGCTCCAGCATGGTAGTGCTGATGTAAGAGCAGACTCCTGTGGTTATAGAGCAGGGCAAGAACGTGTCCTGATAACTTGGAGTTCTTTTAAAAGTGAGTTCCAGAAGTCAGATCTGTGTAAACAGATTAATTCACTCAGACCCTGGTTCCTTACTCTAATTTGGAAAATCACCCAAGCTCCCATTTGGCTCCTAGAACTCAGATGGTGATTTTTCCATTTCCTTATCTCCAGACTTGTATCTAGTAGCATTTAGTTTCTGTTCAACTATGTCTTAAAGGCCAGGACTTGAAAACACAAAGTCTGCTTGTTTCTGAAGCCTCCTTTCCACACTCTGTACAGTAACATCATTTTATACAATAACTGAATGACTTCTGAAGAGCAGTTCTAATTGGGAACTGATCAAGACATTTCTGATTGAAGACATGTTTGATATTTTATTCAGCATTTACAAAGGAGAAATGATTGCTACAACATCTCTGCTGCCTAAATTCCTGCTTATGCTCAAGAGAAATTCTATTTTTTTCATAGTTATATTTATTAACCTCCTTAAAAAAGTAGACCCAATATCCAAAATAAAATTTGTTACATTTATGTGAAAACAAAAGGTGAATATTCAGCATGTGAAGGGGTCACAGGGAGTAAAATTTTAAAACCTGAATGCATATTGTAAGGAACAAAACAGAGTGCCAAGATCCTGCAGACTCCAGGCAGATGTGTAAGGCTGCAACTTGTGGTTGCACAGGACTTCATACGAGCTCTCCTGTGGTAGTTAACAGATCCCAGGCAGAGCATTGCAGCACCTGCCTCTCTTCACTGTAAATACAGTTATTTTAATCTGATGTTAATTTCATAAAGTAATTTTAGCTTGTATTCTAGGTGACAGTCTAATGGTTTTTAAGCACTGTACTTCCATGCATCAGCCTGGCAGCAATATCCTTTCATATGTGGGTGTAAATTATGCAACACTTGATCTGCTGCTTGGGAACAAGCAGAGCTGGGATTTCATTCTTCATTGTATGGACAGTAGAGACAGAGGTGGCTGCTGGACTCCTGTTAAACTTCTCCTACAAAGGAGAGCTCCAAAGTTTGGGCAGTGTCCAGAGATTTGCTGGATCTGAGTTTGTTTCCTACCTCTGTTGCATATTTCCCATATACCTGTGCAAACTGCAGGGTCTCTCTCTCTCTCTCTCTCTCTCTTGGTCTCAGACCTTTATCTGTGTGAAGATCATGATAAAGCATTGCATACTTCTGGATCAATTTCCATCCAGAAAAGCCAAGGACTTCTGCTGGTATAAGCTAAAGAAATTTCCTGGAGCAGCAGAAAGCTCAGGTTTTTCCTAGTTTGTTACTTGGAGCCCCTCATGCCTTGGCTGTCAACCTGAATCCAGGCATTCTCCAAGCCTGAGGTGCAGAGCTGGAGCCAGTGCTGGAGCCCCAGCAGCTCCTGGGGTCCCACAACCTCTGGCAGCTCCAGCACTCCCCAGAGAGATGCTGCCACTGCTGGCTGACTGCACAGCCCACACACCACTGTTTAAATAGCCTGTCTTCTTTGCTTCATTTTGACAATTGATTTTAATCAGTATTGTCAGCTGCTTAAAGCACTTCATTCTCTGAAGCACTGCAGCATTCAGGAGTGGAGGTGTGGGATCAGTCATGTTATGATTGGGTATTAGGAAAAATTTCTTTACTGCAAGAGTGGTCAAACATTGGAACAGGCTGCCCAGGGAAGTGGTGGGGTCACTGTCCCTGGAGGTGTTAAAAAACCGTGTAGACATAGCACTTCAGGGCGTGGTGGTGTTGGGCTGACAGTTGGACTTGATCTTAGAGGTCTTTTCCAACCTTAATGGTTCTATGAGTAGTTTTGTCTGGGAGGAAGTGGTCTGAAGTCCTCATTTCATGGTTCATGATCCTACTTGGGCTGCTGCTGTTTGCAGTAGCTTGGCATGTTTTCAGCCCTACACCATCTGGAGAAGCAATTTGGATTTGCAGAACATTTTTGAGGTTCAAGCCAGAACAAAAGGAGAAAAATTTATCCCTTCCCACCCACCCCACCACAGCAATTTATTTGGCTAAAAAAAAAAAAGCACTCAAACTAATCATATGACTGAGTTATTTTGATACATGACATGCTGTTTATTTCTGGCTTGTCAATAGTTTAATTATTTTCAATCTGTTTCTAAAACAGAAGTGAAGTACACAAGGGATTTGAATATGTTAGAAGTTGTCCTGCCATCTGCACAGCCTGAAGCCAAGTGACACAGGCAGTGTAGTGTTTGAAGACATTAAAAAAAATTATTCTGGATTAATGCTGACTTCTGATTGGTATTTTTAGGTGGCAGTAGAGAAGAATATGTCACAGCTGGAAAGCCATAGATCAAGTAGTATCTTCTCCATTGTCATGTTTCTATTCTGAGACATGTGTTGTTAGGTTACTCATGAAAGAACATATCTTGATTTTACCTGTTTTACCTCTGATTTAATGGCTACGGATAAACAGGGGAGTAGAAAGGAGGAAAGTCAAATGGCAGCTTATTTGTAGTTAAAGACCTACATGACATATGATGTCAGCCTGGAGTTTTAGAGGGAAAAGCCATGACTTTGTTGAAAGCAGAGTGGGGCTACTCCTCGATGTGTTCCAGTGAGGCCACAGTGAAATCAAGAAGAAAGCTCTTTTCTAGGCTGCCACTGCTCTGAGCTTTTACTCTTCCTCAGTGAGAATGACACACGTCCCTTGGTATGAAGTGTTCACTGTGGTCCTTGGCTGCTTCCAGGAGATGCTCCAGAATACCTGGACAGGCAAAGTTTCTCCTCTCCAGTCTGGAAATGGGCCATCCAGCCTCTTGATCTCTTGCACTTCTCTGCCCCAAAAAACAATGTCTTATTTATTTACCCCTCACTCTCTTTTCCACCTTCTGCCACTCCCACAGGAGTGTCTGGACAGTGCCCAAGGTGCTATCAGCACGGAGCTGTTTATTAGCAGGGGGTGACATGTAACAAAAGCCAGAGGGGCATGTGCAAGGTCTTACCAATGTGACTGATCTATGCAGCTTAATTGCTGCATGAAATATGCAAAAGCACTGGAGGTCATTTAGAAAAGTTGGGGTATTTACAGGAAAGTAGAAATTGAGCTTGAAAAAATAATTACACCTTTTTTTCCTTCACATTAATGACTACACAGAGGAGCCTTTTAAATGTGTCCATATATGAGTCTTAAGCATTCATTCCACATCAGTATTTCACCTTTTTCCTTAAGTGATTTCTATCTTCCTACTAACCAACAATCATTCTGTCTGCATTTCATTTCCTTGTAATAGCAAACCCATCAATCTCTGCTTTATTAAACAGGGAGGCATGCTTGGAAGCCAGAGCACTCAGATTTGATCAAAGATGTTATGCAAACCATTGATTTTAATTTACAGCAATATCCACTTCTTCCATTATTAACAGCTTTGAATTACTGAGACTGAATAATTAACAAATATTCCTTATTGATGTTAGATTATTCAAAAGGCAGATGTACAGAAATATAGCCCAGATTAACATCCTTCCTGCCCCTCCCCCCCTTTTGATGCATATGTCTATTTCTTTGGAGAGATCTCCCAAAACTATTAGAGCAGTAAATGCTCCATAGACAAGTGTGCCAGTGTGTGTTTCTGTCCTTCTGGTCTCTGTTCAGAGCCCTGGGCTGTGACCAGCCAAGTCAAATGATGCAGACCAAGATGCCACCACTTCCAGGGCAGGGCTGCCTGTGCACATTGGATGGGAAATGTAGGCTTAAAATACTGTCCTGCTTCCTCAATCTTCAAGCAGGGCAACGTCTGGTGAAGTGTGTGGCTCAATACCAACCTCTCTTAGCATTTCCAGAGGTTGTTTTGATGATTAAAACCCAATCTCTGTGCACCAAAGAAGACCTGAGCTAGGTCATTCTCCTCAGGGTTTGTTCACTTGCACAGCTCTTTGCAGCTGGAAGGGATGGAGGTCTCTTTACCAGGCAATAAGCTGCTTCACTGAGAGAGAGGTTTGGGACCACAGAGCAGTTTATGTCTTCATCTGCTATTATGGTCCATGTCCTCCCTCATGAGCCTAAATGAAAGGAAATAATCTGGGATTCTTACAAAAGGACATGGCCAATATCTGCCTTGCAAGGACTAATCTCTCCACCCAAAGCCTCATCCCTGCACTCTGAATGTCATTGCTTAGCAAAACCTGGCTGAAATTTCATGTCAGTCTTCCACCCTGAAGCACCAAACTCGGTCAGTTATAACTTCAGAGTTACAACTTTCTTGCAGCTGTAGGAGTTTTCTCTTCAGTAAAGAAAATGCAGCTGCTAAGGAAGAGCAGAGAGGTGTCTGCAGCTATTTCTGTCCTAGCTGCACAGTACAAGTCATCATTTTTCTCCACCTCCAGAGCCCTTTTCTCTGGCATCCCTCAAGCTCCCTCCTCCCCCCGTCCCACAGAACCACCTGTGCCCACCAGGAGGGAAGCAGTTGGCAGCAGGTCGGTGCTGTCACCACTGAGAGGGCAGCAGTGGAGGAGACCCCTCAACAGAAAGGGTGTAGTGCTCCCAGGGAGCCTGTGCCTGGGGACAGGGCCATCCTTTCAGTGGCAATAGTAGCTGGTTCTTGCCAGGGTCCCTGTATAGGCATGGCTGCTTTCTGTGGGAGATAAGGAGGCAGTTCAACTCACCCATCTGCTGACTGATCACTGTGAAATGTTTGTGTCCAAGTGCTAACCCACCGCCTTTAGAATCAGAGCAGCTCATTCAAGGAACAGGTCACATCAAAATGCTTTGCTCTTCCTCTCTTTCTCCCTCCATGGGATGAGACCCCAGGGCATCCTGACACCAAGTGCCTTTCCCTGGGCTCCACAGCCACCAAGTGAGAGCCAGCATCCCCCCCTGCAGGGAGGTGACAGTCTCAAAGCCCCAGGCCTTCCCCTAAAAAAAAAGGCAGCAGGCTCAGCTGCCAGCCCCCCTCCTGAGGCACTGCATGGTGGAGTAAAAAATCCCCTCCCTGGTTGATGGCCAGCTCACCCCCCAGCAGGGCCTGGGGACAAGGGAGGTGACACTGCCCCTCTATACACTGCACACCCCTCTGGACAGTGCAGGTGCAAGGTGCTCAAATAATTCAATTATGAGAATTGTTAGGAACAGCAGAAGGATGAGCAAAGCTAGATAAGACAAAATATCTATCTAGCTCAGCCTGGCTCTCTATAAACTAGACCATCATCATCCCCTTTTCCACTGTGCCATAATGTATCTGCTGCTGTGCTCACTTGGGAGGAAAAGGAACATCTTTTGTATGGTGCTATTCAGTGTGGTTTGACATTTTGTCTCACAGATGCAGCCATGGAGCAGTGTCAGCCTATTATGAAGGCTTATTTGGACAGGTACAATTACAGCTTGGCACTGAAGGTGCCTTTGATTCCAGCATCCCCATTGTTCCTGAGGCTTTTCATCCCCCCCATGCCCAGCTAGAAGGTCTGTGGCTTAGACCTGCCTTTGAAGTTTTTTCTTATCCATTTCTCTTTAATTTTTATGATGTCTTTTTCTGCTGGTGAATATTATTAATGAAGGCTCTGACATTTGATTGTGCTCAAGATAGTGGTGCTTGGCAAGTGTCTGACCTCTCCCAGCTGTGCAGCAGCTGCGGACAGGAGGAGGAAAGGTGGTGGGGCCAGGGCAGCCTGTGCAGGAGAATCACCTTGTGCATCCCACTCTGCATCGTGCCCATGGGGAAGGACTTGTTCCTAGCTTCTCATCCTTTTCCAAAGGACTTTGCTGCAGTGCAGGCTTGTGTGTCAGCAGGTCCCAGCTTCCTGTCTCCCAAAGTCTCCAACACAGGACTTTGCCTCTGAGGAAAACTAGGTCTTTCAGGTTGGATGTGTGTGGAGATGATTGGGAGGGAAGTGATTTCTGGTGGAGGAAGGAGTGATATCCTATTGTAGGAGCAGCTGTGTGGTCAGTAACCAGTTCTGTGGAATGGCTTGGGATTTTAGTATTTAGATGCCAATTGCCTTCAGTTTTGAGGAAGGAATCTCTGGATGCAATTAGGGGTGGTCGCTGGTGATAGAGAAGCACAGAAACTGATGCCATTTGCTTGGCTCTGCATGGAGCACGTTACTATGAGGCCAAGGAGGAAAGCTGCCCAGAGGGAGTGTTCACCATGTACTGGGAGTTTGGAAGACAGACTGGACAGAGGAAGGCAAAGGAATCCATCAAGAGCTGTTAAACACAAGCTCACTGTGACACAAACCCTTGTGTCACAAGAGAGCATGTGAGGGAGGCACTGCCTTGTGCATGTAGGCATTTCATCTCCTAAGGCCTCTGTCAGACAGTGGTGGATGAGGCAGATCCTTCTCATCAATAGGGATTTTCTTGTGTCAGGAGGGAGGAATGATGGCTGGGCTGGTGTAGGCAAATTGCTGGCAGCAGTTGCCATGTCATTGCAAGAACTGCAGTCACAAAATCCACTCATTGCAAGACGAGTCCCAGAACTAATGACCCAAGGTGGCAGGAAGCAATCAATGCTCTCCAATCAAACTAGGGAAAGCTGCACTGATCTCAGACAGAGCCTTGTCAACGTTTCTGAATGCACCAAAGGATTTGTCTAGAGCTACCAGCTTCCTGAAGCCTTAATTGGTTTCACCAAAGTTGTGCTAAGTTCAGTAAAAAACTCATTCTAATTAGGTGCAAATTCTTTCAGGTGCTAAATTAAAACACATCTTGACTTTGTCTTTCTCCCATCTTAGCATCTATAATTGGCTTGCATGAAAATAAGCTTCTTGCTGGATGCAAACCCATGGCTGTGTCTGACCCCTTCAGCCCCCCAGAGACCTTCCTGCATTTGGCAGGAGTGGATTTACTGGCATGAGCACTGAAAACTGGCAGAGCAAAAGAACCAGTCGTGCCTTTGGGCTGGGATCATTCATTCCAACACAGGACAAAATCCTCTTCCTTACTGGGTACCGTGGGCCCTGAGCCACCCATAACCCCTCTCCTGGTATCTCAGCAGCCCACATTTGGAAGGACACGTGTCTAGCAGTGCTCAGGGACTTTTTGCCTGAAAAATCTGTGAGGTGAGATACACTCAACTGTCTGTTCCACATGGCGTTTATTAATCTCTTAGTTTAAACACAGGAGATCGTCTGGAATTAAAAGCTACCCGAGCTCTCACAGATGAGAAGGCACTACTTGGCATATGGCCATACATTTATGGAGCTAGGATTTGCAGTCATCTTGGACCTCTTTCTTATTATAGCCATATAATTTTTGAGCCTGCATATATCTGCCTAGTGCTCTGTTTTTCTGTGAGGCCAGAGCATCTCCTTTCCTCTTTATTTGCTCCTTAACATCCTGGCCCATCTGGATGAACCTCTACCCAGTCATGTATTTCCTTGTAAAAAAATCGAAAATCAGGGCATTCCCAGGATACTGTTCATGCTCAATATGAAGAATCTGAGTTCAGCA